CCCCAAAACCCCAAAACCCCAAAACCCCAAAACCCCTAAAATAAAAACAACAATTGTAAATAAATTATAATGAGTTCAGTAGATTCCTCTAAGAACAACAACGAGGTAGCCCAAACTGCCACGAAGGAAGATAGCAAGAAAGAGCCACGGAATGGCTCACAGTCTTCTACATATGACTACAACAGTCAAATCGCTGCAGGGAAAAATATGTTTAAGAAGAATAAAATATTAGCCCAATCGCGGGAGGAAAGGTCTGCAAAGAAGGCCAGTAGGGAGTCTCTCCTCATTGAGGGCCATGAGTCATACACAGGACGTCCGGGACACAACCTGCTTAGTGTCAAGAAGGACTACTCCATCCTCAACAACGACAAGGTACTTCTCAGCAACAGATTAATAATGCTGCGAAAAGAGGAAGAAAAATTAATGAAAAAGATTAAATCTACAAAAGAGAAAGCCAAAAATATTCTCGAGGTTAAGCACAGAAATGAAATCAAATTTAAGGAGAAACTTGAGAAAGAAAAACAAGAAGAGAAGGAAACCCTGATCAAACGCCAGAAGATCCTCAAGCAGAGAGAGCAGAAGGAAAAGGCTGATAGGAACAAATGGAAACAAAATTTATCTCAAAAGTTGAAGAATTACCATGAAATTAGGGACCAGAGGGTCTTTGCAGTTCAACATAAGTCCAATGTCAGGAAGAAGGTGGTACTTGAGAACCAGCTCAAAAGAGATCGAGTCAAGGCTCAAGAGAGTAGGATCCAGCAGAAACTTCGTAAAAGAGATGAAGATAGAAAGAAAAGGTACCAACTTCATTATTCCATGAGAGTAGATGACCAAAAATAAAATCGCAGACCAAGTCACAACAGAGATTAGCGTTATGGAGAGAGAGGAGAAAGAAATTTTGGAACGGTTAAAATAATAGCCAGAAGTTAGAACAGCTTGCGTACAAAGATCTTGAAAATGCTATCCAAAGTTCAGTTAATTGAACTGAGCAAAGAAGGAAATTCTTAGGACAAAGAAGTAGGCTCCCAATCAGGAAGCCAGCCAAAGGAAGTGTATCACCTATGCGTGCTGGATCAGTTTACTCACAAAGTTTGCACTAGGAAGCAGACTTTAGAAGCATTAACGATTCAATAATAAAAAAGAAATAAGGGGTTTTGGGGTTTTGGGGTTTTGGGGTTTTGGGG